CTGCTCTATTATTCTCTTATTATCGTACTAACAGTTCCAATCTAGCTGTGCTAATTGGGGGACTTGCACATTCTCTTTAACAATGTCTATTTGTGTGTGTGTTTTTTTTTTTGCCAGTGCATAAATAAGAGTCTCACTGAGAAAATCATTTGTGCTGCAGAGACAACAAAAGCTTCTGAGAATCCACAAATTAGCACTATTATCTTTGTGCAATTACCAGACGTGTTTATTTAAAGTCATCTGATCAATTAAAAAATATTCACTACAATGCTGTAGTCTTTTTTTTTCTCTGAGATGGTAACTGAACGGGATCAGTGCATTAAATTACTGTGGTGCACTGGAGAGCATGCATATTCTTTTTTATGATAATAGATAAGTGATTATAAACCTGCATTAAAAGATAATATATCCATGGACAAAACAGCAGTTCAGTAGAATCTGTTCATGCTGGGAGATCTTGTTAGATAACTATTTGTGTAAAAGTGCATAAAGTATAATGATAGAAGCATGAGGCTGAGTGAAAACAGCCAACACAGTCTGATCCAAGCCAATTATTAGAGAGAAACTGCTTCCCAGTGACAAAGATCTTACATTGACTTGATGATTTATGTTGGTTTAGGTTTGTGACCCCAAACATTCTAAGAATACAACAGAATCCCACTGGAATAGCATCACAATAGGAATGGGAAAGTACTTGAGTGCAGCTAAAGCCAAGCAGGGACTAGATTTTTATTAAAAATCTGTGAAATCAGTCTAACTGGGGAGAGCCACTGAATACAGAAGACACTTTTACAGAGCTTCCCCTGTGAATTCTCTGGTTTCTCTGTAACGGAGGGGAATGGGAAATCCATGTGCGACTGAATAAAACACTCTGCCTGCCAGATTTTTCCCCCTGCTGAAAATATATTAACTGAAAGTAAACAGTAGCATGTTGGATAATGTCTGTATTTAAAAAAGGTAGTATAAAAGAAAAGAAGAAGTGCCTGTGCTTGATTTTCTTCGCAATCCTGTAAATAGCAAATCAACAAACGTTAAAATAAGATTTATTTTAATAACCAAAACAGTACCATATTACACTGTACTTCATAGTGTGTCTTCACAAAATATATATTCTAAAATATTCATCTACTAAACTGCTGGCAGCTAAATGCTTGTTTCTCTGTATTTCATCTTTAATCTTTACCTTTAGCATGGAACCCCTAAATGTCAACACACATCTGAGAAGGCCTCTAAGTATACATGTGTTTTTGTGTGTGTGTTTGTGTATCTTTGTGGACACAGGTTTAACGGTTTGCTGCAAACACAGGTTATGTCTGTGCACATAGCTGGAGTTTAAAGCCAGGCCATGTATAGGGATAAAGGACAGGTGAAAGGGAAACTGAACCAGACATCTTGGATGACCATTTAAAATAAAATAAATAAACATGAAAAAAAAAAAAGCTCTTGTTGACAATGGCCTCCACAGAAGTGTGTTATCTTTTACTCAGTGTTGGCACATCAAGGCCAAATCCAATGACACATGACAATGTCATGATATTGTGATATTCTTTTTTTTTTTTGATGGATAAAAAAAAAAAATTAAATGATTTGGATTGAAAGTGTCCCTCTGTTTCATCTGGGGAGCCCTGCTCCCTCCAGCCTGTTTGTGAAGATAAAGTTCACCCTGACCTTTCAGCCAATATTTATTCTCTTGATGTGCGTATCAATGCGTCGGGTCCCTGCGAGCATCTCTACTGCACACCATCACCTCCGTGCATGTGTGTCTGAGGAGTCAAACAGTCTGTTTATTTCTTTCCTTGAGGAATGCAGGAACTGGCATCATTAACATGTGAGGGGATGGGTGCTTGTGGCCCTGCTATGGACAGTACTATCACTTGTGGTTGATACAGCTCAGTCTCTCATTAGAGCATTTGATTTCATTTGATAACCAGGAAGACATCGATATACAAGTCTGCCATTAGCACTTTAATGCTGCTCACTGCCTACCAACATGCATCTTTTTTATTCAATCTCATGTACTCTAACTCGAAAATGCATATGGAAGAAAAAGTCTGATGTTCAACATGATGCTCAGTCGCTGCTCATCCATTAGGAGCAGGAGAAAGTGGACAAGTTCATAAAACAGAAAAGCCATGAAGAGGAGACACATAATGCTTAGTGTATCCTACGGATGTTGAGCTGAGACAAATAAGAAAAGCAGAAACATGGTGCTCATTATTTCTTTTTTGTAATCTCCTGCTGCCTACACAGTCTCAGAGATAAGTAACATATGGGACAGAGCATCTCTCTGCTAATATATGTGTTTAATTGTCATATGTGTCTTAAAAAATCCTGTAGTTTTTTTCCCCCCCAAATTTTCAACTAAATCAACTGAAGAGTTAATCTCATCCTGGGATTGAATTAGTGCCAAGATGATTTCAGCGGCGAGGATGGACTGAAGGAATACAAACAAGCTGAGGGAAAAACACACAAAGCCTTGAGCTTTAACTTTTGATAAGCCCCTAACACTGCAATCAAAACATCTGCTATCTTAAAACAAGTGACATTGTAATCCCGAAGGACAAAGACGAAATCTCTCTCCCTCTCTTGTTGGAAGGATGAGAAAGGATAAAAAAAGAGAGATGGCTATTCAAAAGGAAAACTTGATTAAACTGCACACTGCCCCACTCCAAACCTCTTGATGGATTCCCATCAATCCACATGTAAGCGCACATGTAGCATGCCATCAACAGTCTCCGGTTGCTATCCCGGTGGTTTTATTGTTTGGACGGTTTACAATGTCCACTGATGTGATCAGTTGCATCATCAATACAAGGTCTTAAAAAGAGGCTTTCTCCTGGGTTCCTCCCTGAGGCCAAAACAGAAGGACTTTGATGGCCAGCAGGGTTTCCAATAAAGTTTAGTGCTCTCCATGCTAATAGGAGAGTAACTCAATCCCTGAACACTGCTTACCACTTTGCTAAATGTCTGTGACATACAGGCTGGGAGCTTGTTTACGAAACAAATTAAGTCAAAGCTGTTATATATTAAAATGGCCAGGGCATTTTTAAGAGGCAGCAGTAATGAAAACAGAGTGGCAAAAAAAAGAAGCTTCACTAACTTGCACCGGTACTCTCTTTTATCTACTCTGCTTCTCCAAGAGGAGTGGTCATCAGCACGCTGAATATCGGGAGGATCTAGGTGTGGGATCATGGGAGTTGTTGTCCAGACCACTCTTTATGGAGAATCATTAAAGGACTTCTTGGATACACAAATTTTGCACGTGATCAAACTTTTTTGAAGAGTGGTTCAGTTGGTCTTGGTGGTGCTTTGTGTGAAAAGTGCGGCCAGCAGAGACTGATGGGCAGAGGAACAGATGGTCTGAACATGAGACTGTTTTCTTTAATTGTGGATGTGGCTTTTCTTTTTTTTTTATCAGGGAAGATCTGTGGCTCATTTGGGCCAAGGGAGAAGAAGTCGGCTATCTGGGCTCCACAAGAAAGGACTTTACTTGTATCTCTGTTCAAGTGTTTGAAATTGATATTTAGAAGCATGTTCCCATGCACACTCGACCCGCCACCCTCTCTCAAAACTATGCATCAAGGGGAATTTTCAGGTATCATCTGCCTTTAACTCTGTGATGAAAGCAAGGGCCACTAAAAGTGAGATGCATTAGGGCTGTGCCCTTATGCTCAATGAGCATAACTAAAGGACCCTCCATGATGTGAGTAATACTAGCCTCTTGGTAATGTATAAGGTACTTCATTTTAAAGTGTTTTCTAGACAGAGTGTTGTACTCTGTGCTTCTTTTTAGTGAAGTGCTATAATGAATAATTTTTCCGGTAGTCTGTCCACAGTTGAAGTGAAAGGTCCAGACTAGTGGCTTCTCAAGAACATGTTGACAGTATGGCTTTCTCTTGCAAAGAGCCCTTGAAAGAGTCATTTTGATGTCATAGCAGTAAATCTGCTTGTTGTGCTAACTGTTCTAAACTAGAAGTTTGCTTTGCCTGTTTATAATGAAGGGCTCTGGTGCTAGAATGCAGAAGAATCTTCTCTTTAGTACAAAACCCAAACAGTATCTCTATTGAAAAGTGCTAAAAGGTGATGGAGGAAAAATTTATTGCCAGTGTTTTGAAGAGGTAAAATGAAAGGAGAGAAAATAGGGAGTTGTCTGTTGGAGGAACAAGCAGCAGAGGAGGAGGAGGAGGTGAACGGAGAAGGATGTGCCTGACACTAAGAACACCCAGCAGGATAACGTTAGCTCCACACAGGCATCCAGGCTCACAGCCTTGACCACTGCCCGTTACCAACCCTGGATTACCATGTACCGTCTCACTATGTTCAGCAACATGCAGCCTGGGTGGTCTTTCAGCCCTGCTTTGTAATGTATTACATAAGACACATACACACTAATGAAGGTGATGGAATCTGGCATGAGGTGCATAGGTTAAAAACACATAATACGGAACGAATAAGTAAGAAGGAGAAAAAGAAACAATGCCACCCACAGCAGCTCTTGTGCTGTGTGAAATCATGCCACGTTGCCCTTCTGTGGCCGACTCGTTTCAGAGGCGTTTACCATCCTCTTTCATGTCCCCCACCTCCGGGCTCTTCTCCATCACCAGGACTCATTAGCTGTTGTTACTTTTCCCCGTTTTTTTTGTTCAGTAAGATGTGCTAATTATTTTCCTCCATATTTTAAAACCCCTCACGATTACCAACAGGCAATTAACATTTGATGAGAGTGATGCATGTTAGTTTGACACCAAAAAAATTTAAGATAAAAAGACAAGCGATATTTTTTTTTAAATCCAAAAAGATGAGAAGGAGAGGCTAACAGAAATAATCAATGATATGTATATTGTAATGTGTAATTTTATTGATCTGTTCGATTAAATCCAGACATTTGGCTCATGGTGACCGCGCTAATTACACTGTCAAGGGAGGCATGTTGTATCAGTGTGGAGAAAGTGAGAGGTGTGAGTTGCGGGTGTCAGACCAACAGGAACGGAGTCACTGACCTGGATCTGCTGCTGGAGGAGGTTGATTTTGTGCTGCTGCTGCAGAAGCTGCTGCTGTTGTCTTGCAATCTGGGTGGAAACAGAAATGTAATGTGTGTTAAGATAGATGACACATTATGGCTTAGCGATTAAACCATAACAATAATTATTGCAATATATCACATAAATAAGGATATAACAAAAGTTTAGTATATATTGATATATTGTTTATGCATTGGGCCAGCCTGGTGAGAAAGTTCAATAATAATAATAATAATAATAAACTCAAAAACTACAACCGACACTCAGGAGCAAAAATTAGCCTTTAAAGATAAAAAATGTGACATTTATAGTGATAATTATCGCATTCGAAATATCTGAATATTTTTGGCCATTTCACATACGATGCAATAAAAATATAGGAAAGAAAGAAGTAGATCGGTTAATCAGAATAACAGTATTTGTCTTGTCTTTAAAAAAACATCATTCCAAATAAAGTGCTCCAAAATTATGGTAAATTTTCTAAATGAAAAGCACAGTTAAAACCAGTGGTAAAAGAACTCCACTGATTTACAGGACAGACGGACACAAAGGAGATAACTTCCACAGGCGGTGTACGGGTGACAGAGGTCCCTGCCCCCCCGAGTGACGAGCAGCCACACCGCAATCCCTCTCATCCCAGCAGTCCCTCTTTCTACATGCCCACTTCATTGAGCATGACAACCTAGTTTTAAGTGTCATTTAATTTTCATTTTTAAATATAATTACAAAGTGTTCACTGTAAGATATCGGTCGTCTGCAAATGTGTCAAGATTAATTTGTGCTGGCTTCCTCACGAGTGTCAACAGTTAATTACTGTGTTGTATCTTGATGGCTTGATGACATTCTAGCTCTCAGCGGGCTCTCTCGCTTTCCCTCTCGCCCCATCTCTCCCTCCCCCTCTTTCTCTCTTCATTTTATTAATATTCCACTCTCTCAAAATAAGATAGAATGGTAAAATATCTTATATCACTGTTCATTTATGCTGCAACGTCTACAAAGCTCACAGAGCCGAGCGTAGTTTGCAAATGAACATCATTGATTAGTAAAAAAATCAATACTGTTAATGTATTATTAGTGCACTATGACCAAATGCATCACTCTAAGGTATATGGTCTATCTGTTCATTTACCACAGGAAGGCTTGAGCGCGTGCTGAGAAAACTCTGAGTGAACTCCTCGCTGATAATTGACTCATAGCCATTAGAGTGGCTGGTGATAATAAAAGTGTCGCCCGTGTGGATAGTTTGTGTCCTTATTTCTTCCCAGACATTAACACACTTCATGGCCTCTGCTAATTTGCTGATTTGTACAATATGGCTCATTGGCCTGATTTGTGCTGCAAATCTAATGCCAAGCTTGTTCTAATAGGAGTCGATTTATAAGATATAGAGGACTTCCATGTTTAATATAACGTTTAATTCACACATTCCGCCGCATTTGTTAGTACAAGTCATAATAACCTTTTTCCTACACACCCAGCATAAACGTGGGCGAGAGAGCATGACCAAAATAACTGAGGCAATGTCGACTATCGCATCTCTTAAATCTAATATTATTCCAAATTCCTTTGGAGGAGCAGGATTTTTATTGGCACATTTCAGGCATGAAATTTAAAATGAAATAGTCAGTTGAAAATTTGTTGCAAATGTATTTAAAGGGGTTTATTATAGTGATAAAAAAGGGAAACAAATCTAATGGAGTAATGGGAATAGATGTTAAGTAGGAAGAAAGGAAGGATGGAAAGAAGGAGTGAGACACTGTGAATGTGGGGGGGGGGGGGGGGGGGGGGGGGTGTTACCTGCTCCTGCTGCTGACGAGCTAACTCCATTTGCTGCCTCTGTTTCTCCATCTGTGAGGCGGCAAGCTTCTTCTGTTCGTCGTGGGCAGCCAGGAGCTGCTCACGCAGGCTGATGAGCTGGGTGATCATTGTGGAGAGCTGGTGTTCCTTCTCTGCCAGGCTCTCTGGAGTACCTAGTGGAGGGGCGAGGAGCAGAAAGAAGAAACAAAAATTGGAGAATATGAGTCATAATAGGAATGGGTATGTATTGTGCGTACCTGAGAAGAAACAATATTGTACACACCAAAGTTCCACAATGGTCTAAAACTAAATGGCCTGGATGTACGTGTTTTTAAGAGAGCCTGCAGAAGTCGTTGTAAAGTACCAAATATAGAAAAGTGACCATGCTGCGCACAACATTCATCGTCTCATGCTATTGTACTGTACACAATATATAGTAAAAAGAAAACCACTTAGGAAGCAACCAACTGCAGTGAATTCACTGGAAAGTGTTAGGTCGCACACAGCCTGGAGTTGTGTATTCTACTGGAGCTGGTGTTCAAAGCTTTCAAGGAAGAAGGGGAAGGAATTGTTCCCAGGCACAGAGAGTGAATGCTGCAGGGAGCTGTCAAACTGAGGTGGGAGATTATATCAGACTACCAGGGGTGAGCATAAAGAAAGTGTTGAAAGTCACTGTTTGTACTGGCCTCCAAACTACGCAAGTTTTTTATTATATGGCCGTTCCAGTAACACATTAGAGAAGGAACTCCACGCAGATTTCACCTTAAAGGAATGAGTGAACTTGTCAAAAAGAAATGCACCAAGAACCTTAATATCTACAAACTAAAAAGTGCCTCTGAATGTCCGATTACAATCATCAGTGAATAGATTTTATTTTATCATCAATGTATTTGATGCATTTATACTTGACAGTGACAGTCCAATAAGGTTATTTCTGTCCACAGTCACATGTCCACACTGTGCAATAGACAGAGCAGCTGCACTACTCTCTCTCCTTCGCCTAATCAATGCTAAGTGATCCTACCATTGACTTACACAGCCAACATAATTGCCAGTGAGAGGCTAGACAGTAACTCACTCTCCTCCCACTACACTCGTGTGTGACAAGCTGATCCAGGGGAACATACAAGGAGGAGATGGGAAAACAGAAGAGATGGAGAGAATAAGAGAGGGGGAGAAGGATAAAAGCACAGAGATGTAGATAACAGTACAGTGAAGTCTGGCCTGGGGCCAGCAGGAGCTGAATTCTTTCCTGGGTGTCTTCCTCTCGTCTCTGGCCACATCTGTCTTGAGTTTCTCCGAGAGCTCCCAGGGGCCCTCTCGACTCAAACTATTTTAATTTGACTAAACACCTGATTTATTTTATCTCTCCGATGAGGAAAGCCGTTTGTCTTAATAGGGCCTGTCAGCCTCCAGAACCCATTCAGGGCAATTTACTGGCACGCTCGTCTGAACCTCGGTTCGCTTCACTCTGCCTCCGCTGCCTGCTGCAATAGAAGAGAGCTGCAATTCTCCATTTATCCTCCTAACGAAAAAAAGCACCTAAAAGCAGCTATTCATTGGGCCTGCGTGCACTTTCCAAGGCCTGAATTGACTTCTTATTCACCCGACTACACTTGTTGTGAATGGCTTATCTGTAAAATTGATACAATCAGAACCAATTTTATTAACCTTTGGCTGTGTCCATGAAGGAGCTGCCTTTACAGATACATCAGTCGTTGTCACAATAAATCACAGCTATCAATACTGCTGTGTGAAGGAGGGAGGGACTGAAGAAATTAATAATGACAGAAAGAGAGAGAAATGAAGAAAAGGAAATAATCATCCAGGTGAAGATCAGGGCCATTGCGCGTCAAGGCCAGCGTAGGTGACCTTGAGTTGGGAACCAAACATCTGGACTCTCTGATGCCCTCTCAACCTGTCTAATCACACATTTCTGATGATCACTCACTAGTTTAGAAGTGTCACCACTGCAATGTTCAGCACGTATATTTTGTAGTGCATGACTGCGTGGGGCGACTGGGCCCACAGAAGGATCTGATGGGTTAGTCTGAGTGTGAAGAGCTCAGTTCTGCCTGGACACCAGAAGAATACTAACAGAGGGCCCATTGTTGTGATGTTGAGCTGAACTGTGGGAAGCCAGAAGTGCCCTCTGGGATCTGGGTCTGCCCTCTACGCTAATTTTAATTGTAATTAATTAACATTTATTTTGTCGCTGCTGAAATATCAGTAAGAAATGTTCATATTAGTGATGAATACTGAAGACAAACATTTCAATGCAAGTTTTGGCATCTAAATACCTAAATGTGGAAACACAGAGGTGGAATTTTACTTTAAAGACACTTTTTTTCCTGGTACAAAACTCATCAGACGCATATGTTTTTTGTTGACTGCTTAGTGTAAAAATCTCTTTCTTCCTGCTTTAAATTATGGATCAGCTTTAAAATCCAGATAAAACTTTTATTGGGTGGTGCAGAAGAGGAGCGTCGTGGTCTGTGTCTAACCAACCTGCTGACAAAAGAGGCCGTTTCCTGCATATTGCATGGCTTTTAACAGCGGTGGGGCTGGGGTCTGCCCGTTAACATGTCTCCTCACATTGCGCTTCCGATGGCAGACAGACAGCCCGGAGATGCCTTGGCGCTACATAAACTGGCCCAGACCTAACATGTTGTGACATCCTCCTGTTAGAGGACTGAGGCTCAGTAGGACAACAGACGAAGAGGATCCCCCAAGAGTGAGCGGTCAAACTGTGTTGGCACTTTACTTGTTTTTTTGTTTTTTTCCTCAGGCCGATGTGTTAAATTTTGACAGAGATGTGAGATTGACAAATAGGAGGAGGAGGAGACGGTAAAGCTGTGTTGTTCAGTTTCAGCCCATTCAGCATTCACCTTTGGAGATTCCTGCCTCTTTTAAACGTCACAAAGTAGGGCAGAAAACATCAACGGGTGACTAAATAAATGATAAGAGGAAAACAAGCAGAGCCATGGTTGCTTGGGGAGGGATGGGGGTATTTGAGCCTTGGGGTCTTTGGATAAAAGGCACTTTGTAGGGGTGCGATTTGTTCTGTCCAATACCCACATCTCCCTCTCTCTTGGCTCCCTCCTCTCTGCTCTAATCAAGCAGTCTCTAATTTGGGTTCCAAGTCCAGTACCGGGGAAAAAGAAGGAGGCTTGTTACTTTGAAGAGTCCCGAGTGAATAACACAGATAAAAGATTCAAGCACAAAAAAAAAGAAGAAAAGCGAGGGAGGGTGAGGGTGAAAAGGGGGAAAATCACAAGGCACCCTATTCTCTCCCTTCCTTTGGTTAGGACAGCTGAGCCATTATGACCAGATCTGAATTGAGTTTTTTAACGCCAGAAGACTGGAATTTCTTTGTCTCTCTATCAGTTGGCCATTGTGGATGCCTCCATATGCTGTGAGCCCATCCTAAGTAAATTAGGACTTGTCTAAATGCTACGATTGTACCTAGCTGTGTCCACACACAGACCGCACATAGCTTGAATGCTTTGCGTGCTGAGGCTCTCTCTCTCTCTCTGCTCTCTCCTAAAGTGTGTGTGAATGCAGACATGAGTGTGTACAGATGTGTGTTGCGTGCTGCTGCGATCGATAATAGGTACATGCCTCTGAGTAAATGCACACGTGTGTGAACTCAGTGCGGTCATCTGACCCTTTGTCTATTCTTTCTGTGGAGAGCACAAAGAACCAATTGAGTAGCAGCTAATGGCATCTATTGGTACCTTCTTTAGTGTTTCAAAATAGAACGATTTTTTTTTTGCTGCTCACAAACCTCTCACCATTAAACTGCTTCTACAAAAGCATTAAACTCAAGCCAGTCTTTGTGTTTAATTTAGTTTTGTGATATTTATTTTGACTGGTCAGAAAATACATCATATTAGAGATCTAAATTTGTAAACTAAGCTAGAACAACAGGGCCTAGTTTTATGATATCTTTTTTTAACTACCATACACGCAGCGCTACAAAGCCATAATGTGTTTCCAGTAATATGGTGTTAACATGTCTCCGTGCCCTGCAACCAAGACAATATGAACAACAGCTGTTTTACCTGGCGTGCTGCCTTTGCCATGATATAAAAGCTGTTAATCTCGCCAATAAAACCGCTTTTACAAGCATGAGCAATGACTCACAAGCACATCATCCGCTGGCAGCAGCGAGTCTCAGCCAGCGTTCCTATATGGTACGGTTCATCATCTTGTTGAGAAAGTCACTTCTCAAATGTTTAAAACTCGTGCTTGAGACAGCTATTTACTTTTTGGAAATGCAAATGGTAGTAGTGATATTATAAGCCTCTTATGGTCAATCTATATGTCTATCTGTGTGTGTATGTGCATATATGAGTACCAACTTATGTGATTATAATCATTTTAATGGCTTAGCAAATTATTTTCTTTAATAAATACCCTGATTGGCAAGTGGAGAGGTTATATATAAAAGCACACTTCATCTGCTGTGGCTCCACTGCTGTTCATGCCCAACACCGATGGAGACTAATATTTTGATGATAGAGGAAGCTTCACTCCTCGGTATAATTATGCCAATGTAAAAGCTCCAGCACTTCACTGGCTGTCCATGACATAGGACGAGGTACTTCATCAAAGCCAGGAAAGAGGCTCGACCTGAAAAGATTACTCCACAGGGAATGCCAGTGACCCTGAAATTCACACTGTAGACAAAAAAAAATCAACATTGAAACTTAACTTCTGTTCTTTCAATAACCGAACACATTATTCTTTGACTATGTAACACAGTGCAACAAACCAGAGATCCTGACACCATGGAGAATGCTGCATGTGTGCATGGCAGCATATAGCGAGGATCTTTACATGAAAACAAAGATTGTCTCCAGTCCTTTGATTCATCTCTCATGGCCTTTATGATGATGAGTCTGACCCCTGCGCCCTTAAATGATAAAAACCATACACAGTTTTCAAGGTCCCCCACATACAAAGGGTGTAAGGCTTGTGAGACAGTGATCAAGGCAACAGCTTACTGTCTGCAAACCTTGGAAGTGAATTAGGAGTTAGATGTTATCTCATTCTTTTCACTGAACATTTATTCATTGGCCTTATCTATACAGCTGATAATCAAAGCAGAGCATACTTGTTTTCTTAGACTGTGCAAAAGTGATCTTTCAAAAGACTTTGAGACTGTTGT